ATTTATCAAAGTTGGGGTATTTTGTTGGTGAATTAAACAATAATGGTATTAGTACGAAAGCAATGAGCATTATGTTGCGTTCTTAAAATATGTTCGCTTTAGTCAGAAGATTAAATAAAGTTGCAATTAACGAAATTGTTTTATTTTTCCAAAATTGTTTTCCCTCGAATAATACTTTCAAACGTCAAAACGGAAATTGACAGATTGATTTTTTTAGGTTGGTAGCAACGTAGACTTGTTCATAATATTGCTAGCATTGAAAATGTCAATTTTTATTCTCCGTTTGTGTATCTAATTAGTCAAGAGTCCCGTCTCTTATTTTATATACTCTTTGTGAGAATCTGTCTGTGGCATAAGTTCTCCTTGCTCGCGGCAGCATTGGGTACGTGTGTTGGTCAGAAAAAATAATTTGTTTTCTTCGCTACTTTAATTAAGCATTTATCTTTTTCGCCAGGAGGAAAAAAAATCCGATCCTGGCGTCGAAAGGATAAATTCCTAGGTTGATTAGCTACAGTACATAGGTAAGTATTGTTACATTTTACTAAGACGAGTTCCACGTCAAATGTGTTGGAAGAAGGTGACACGTATTATCACAAAATGTGGATACCTATCACCAAGTTGTACATTGTAGAGACAAGTTCACATTAGAAACATATTTTACAATTTTAAAAATTTATATTAAATATAATAAGTTTATTATATAAATACAATACGGTAATTATGATTTTTTTTATATAAATTTCGGTCTCCGGTTGGACTTCTAATACGAATTAAATATATATGATAATATAACTCGTTTTGAAACAGGATGTTAATAATTGGTTTCTATCTTACAAATATGTATATATCATTTAAAATTTATAAAGTTTTACACATTGGAAAAGAAATAAACAGTGGTTGATTGAAAGTTCCGGTTTTTTTACTTTGTAACTTGATAATAATTGAGGAACATAAAACCTAGCATCAATAAATTAAAATGGTATCCTTTAAACATGTTTTAATTCATAATAGTCACAAGAAATATGAAATTTCAATTTGCGTCTGTGACTTTCAAAACTGATAAGCTGACAACTAATATCTATATATTCATAATTATATTTAATGTAGATAAAAATATAGACATATTTAAAGATGTAAGTGTACTAAAATGTGCCTACTTTGTAAGGTTAAAGTACAAGAAATAATTCATACAAAAAATGAGAAACATTTTACCTATCAATATGTTGAAACCACATGTTATCACATTTTTTAAATCAGATTAATAATGGCTTATGATAACCTGATAGGTCATTAAAATATTATTTAAACACATTGAAATAAACATCATAGTGAATATAATATTTTAAGAACATTCTTCTACAACTTTTTTTTTCTTTAAGACTTTTTATAAATTTTTCCACCATAGATTTTTCTATGCACAAGGTACAAACCTTAATCACTGTTTTTTAAAGTTCAATTTAAGATTGTCTATAAAAATCCAATATTTTAAAATTGAAAGTACTCTGAAGGTGACCCTGAATTAATTTTAATTGAGTACACTGTAATATATAATTTATTGCCTAAGTTGATTTCTGGAGAAAACTTAATTGCAGTAAAAATGTATTGAGTCATCAAGTTACAAAATTCCTTTGCATCTTATGAATGAATACCTTCAATATAACAAGGTCAGGTCTCATACTTGAATCATTATAGTTTCAATGCTTTTTAATTATTTTTCTATTTTTTGTGACTTCATAGTCCTTAAATCTTACTTAGAATTGTTAAAAACTATTGTCTTTACATTTATATATTAAAAAGCACACATTGATTTTTAAATTATAAGTATTGTAAAATTAATTATCCACATTTTGTTTAAGATATGTACATTACAATCATTTCTACAGTCGGTACATTTGTAATTCAATTGTTTGAAATTGTAATCACTTGTTCAAATATTTAATCAAACACCAAACAATTGTATAAATATGGCCTTATGCAATACTAAAGCTGATGTACAAATTACTAAAACCCAATGGCATCATGATGCTACATAATCTTGTAAAGTTTTGTATTGAAATCTCAAAAACATATTGTGTAATTAGTATTTATTAATATTTATAAAATAAACTAGCTATCACCTACGACTCCATCTGCACGGAATTAAAAAAAAACATAACAAGTAGCCAATGTGTTCTAGATTGTGTTATACATCTATGTCAAATTTCAGGGGATTGTTGAGCTGTTAGAAGATATCTTCAAATCCATCCATCCATCCATCCATCCATCTAAACATTATAATGTATAACTTAGTTCTTTTGAAATAAATCTATTTTCTATTTTCATGTTAATTTTTAATTGATTTATCTAAAATATGATCTTTTATAACATTGTATAGTACTGTAACGACTTGGCGCGGACAAGGACTGCTGGAGGAAGCAAAAATGATGCATCAGCAACCCATGATGGTTGGAGAAATGATACCGGTACACTCTGATATACCCGTGCATACTGAGGAAATGAACAATGTGGGCTACGACAACAGCGGCTCATATGCTTACGATGACCTGTTTCCGGCCTTGCCCCACTCTCAACCCCCTGTACAACGTAACATCCAACAAGTTACTAACAAGATGAGAGTTGGCTCTTCACTGCATACTCAGGTAATTGAAGTGATACTTAAGCAACCCTCGTTGTATTTAATATATAGAAATTAAATTTACTCATATATATATACAATTTGGCATCTAATTAGCAGTAGTTCTAATGAGATAATGAGGTTAGTAAAATTATGTTACAAAGGTCTAGAACTGTTTGTACAATGGCATGAAATTCAATAATTAGTTTTAAACAATTTGCTCAACATACAAATGTAAAATCAAATTTACATTTTAGGTGTTCCATGTGCCATATGAGGAAAGAAAACTTGATAACGCTAACACTTTTGGTGAAGGCGAGTCTTTGAGAACCTGTCAGGCTATTACTAAAGATACTGGAGCACATATTGAGATATCAACTAGCAAGGATGGAAGTCTGACTTTCCTTATCACCGGAAAGCATAGTGCAGTGTTGGATGCTAGGCGACAAATTCTAACTCATTTCCAACAACAGGTAAAAACAGGTTTCATTATATTCCAGAAATTTTATCATTACATGTTACATAAGTATTTATTTATATTATTAGGCAAGCAAGCAAATTAACATCCCTAAGGAGCACTATCGCTGGATCCTCGGTAAACAAGGCCAGAAACTTAAAGAACTGGAGAAAGTCACCGCAACAAAGATAAATGTGCCCAGTATCTCTGATAATAGTGAGATCATTACAATTACTGGCACTAAGGAAGGCATTGAAAAAGCTGAACATGAAATAAGAGTTTGCTCTGAAGAACAGGTATGCATTTTATTTATTCTGTGTGTATAGCAGTGAAATGCATTTTGGTAATAATATTATCATATAATAATGAGTAAATTTCAACGTATTTTTTACAGTCACGCAAGGCATTGGAACGTATAACAGTACCCAAGATCTACCATCCGTTCATTCAAGGACCCTTCGGTGAGCGCGCACAAGCTTTGAGTGCGGAAACCGGAGCCAGGATTCATATACCGCCCACATCTACCCAGAGCGATGAAATTGTCGTTGCCGGAGAAAAGAACGGAGTTCTGGCTGCTAAAGCCCAAATTGAACAAATCTATCAAGAGATGGTAAGTTTTTGTGGTTATAAATGATCTATATATGTTATACTGGAAGGATACCTATTTTAAATTCATTATTTTTCTCCAAGGTCAGTAAATGCTCAACGGTACGAGTGGAAGTTCCAAAATCTCAGCATAAGTATGTCATTGGAGCTAGAGGAACAACCATACAAGAAATCTTACGGGAAACTGGTGTGTCTGTTGAAATGCCTCCTCCTGATTCGCCTACTGGAACTATAACTTTGCATGGCCCCCACAATAAAATTGGAATTGGTATGATATGATTATAAAAAATAAAGTAGTATGATTGAGTAGTAAATATATAAAGTTATTTACTTTTTTTAATTTTTTAGCATTATCAATGGTTTGCGATAAAGCCAACTCGGTGAAAACAGCAACGGTTGATGCACCAACTTGGATTCATAAATATATTATTGGAAAGAATGGCTCTAACATTAAAAAAATTACTCAGGACTTGTCAAAGGTACATGTGGACATAACACATTCAGAAGATAAGGTAAAAATTGATGGTCCTCCAGAAGAAGTGGAGAGAGCCCAAGTGGCGCTGGACGATTTCGTGAAGAACCTACTTGCTACCCTTACTTATGTTGAACTTTCTGTTGATCCCAAATTTTTCAAGCACATTATTGGCAAAAGCGGAACTAACAGTAAGTTATTATTTTTTCATTTTTGTATATTAAACCGTGATAATAGTGTTTTTTTTGTTGTTCATTTGTATTTATACCTTTGTTTTTTTTTTACAGTTAATAGACTGAAGGATGAGACTGGTGTAGTTATTAATATTATCGAAAACGAAGGCAATAACGTTATTCGTATTGAAGGTAGCCATAAGGGTGTCGAAGATGCTGAAAGAGAATTGAGGGAGATGGTGATGAAACTAGAGAACGAAAGAACGAAAGAAGTTTATGTGGATCATAGATACATAAAATCGCTTATTGGTGTGAGGGGAGACAAGATCAAGGAAATCCGTGAGAAGTTTGACCGCGTACTTATCACTCTGCCCGACCAGGGTCAGAAGAGAAGTCCAATCAAATTGAGGGGACCACAGGAAGACATTGAAAAATGTGAGAAGTACTTACACAAGGTGATCAAGGAAATCGCGGAATCATCGTATG